CTCAGCACATTGCCAGGGGAGCGACTGATTTGGAGCAGCTCATTTACTGGACCTTTTCGTTTTCAAAAATGGAACCAGGGTGTTATGTTAAAAAAGTGTTATTTTATAAACTGCGGATTTTCTTATGATTTTATGTATGCTAGCAAAAAATGAGAAAAGGGGTCGTATCTGCGCCTGATCTAAATTTCTCCGGAGCTATTGAAGCTTGTTAGCTGCAAACTTGCTGTAATACGAGGCCATCCCTCTAGTTTTTATCGTAAGAATTTCAGGCTGTTTTATAACTTCTCTGGTAAGTTACAAAATTTTTCAAAAATCCCAGTTTTTGCTTTCTAGGATCGCATCTAAATTTGCGAGAGCCTGATCTAAATTTTTTCGAGCTCACTGCTCCTCAAGGGCTGAAACTTTTTCTATGAATAGTCTGGGCACAATGCTACTGAACCTGTTCTTTGCAGCCTCTCAGTCTTTTCCTAGCCTTAGTTACGGATTTTCAAACTACCGTACTCATGCATGTTTTTAACGTCGTTCTAGACGGTGCTAAAGCGGTTTTTTTCGCAGGAAAAACTGTGGAAGAGGTAAGAACTGAGCTTCTTAGTCGAAAACATCTTTTGTAGTTCAAGAATGTCATTTTGTTCTCCGTGTAAAAATTTGTATCGCATACGGGAATCAAATTTGCTGGCCTGAAGTATGCCTGAAAATTCAAAAGTAAACTTGCAGAATTCAAACATTATTTAAGGTGTGTATATGTGCTAGAGATGCTGGGCGCACCCATTGGCCTAGAAATTCTGCCTCCGAAATTCCACTGAAGTTCTCACGCAGGTGTTTTTTGAGATTGACATTAGTTTATGCAGGTTACCGCGAGAAATGTGGGCAGGGGAGGGAAGGGAGGTAGATGGGGGAAGGGGAGGGAGGGGAGAGGGGGGCGTCGTACGGATGGGTACCTTCAAGGGGGGGGGGGTCGTAAATGAGAGTCCAGGATCGCATCAACACGTTGACCCTGAATGGAACGTTTCTGCCATTTGTGCATTACTGGTCAAATGGATAAGACCAATGCGTTTCAAGCGGCAGAGCCGTAGTTCGAGTGCGGCTAGCGGCAACATTTTTGCTATTTGGCCTGGCGACCTTTGATAGCGGCCGTTATCGAAAAATCGATGATAGCAGCTATCAAAGATTTCACCTAGCAAACAACGAGATAAAACAAATACACAATAATTTGGCACTCAAACGAAGAAAAATTACATTTATCGAAAACGAATAAAAAGATGAATTTACCTCTTTGTCATCTGAAGCGGTTTTTTGGTGAAAAAACGCATATCATCTGTAAGAAAAACGCAAAAAAAAGCCTTTTTTATGATTTCGTCGTCAATCAGCTGTTCATCGATTCTCACTCACTTAGGCGCCCGAAATTGTGCAGTTTTGGGAGTTCTGCACCGCAAAAGAACGTCAGCTGCGATGTTTCATAAGTTACTCGGGAGCAACTTACGGAGGATTTCTCTGTGCTCTCCTCTTTAGCACAGTATTTGCCTAATGTCGTCGCCCGGCTCATCTCCGATGACTCGGCAGGGAGCTGATCTCCCTGCCGGGCTTCATCTGAAGCTCACCTGTAGGGTGACCTTGCATACTTACACCACGGAAAAGTGGGCAGTCCTCATCTCACCCGATAAAACCTCATATGAGGGCTTCAGGAAAGATCATCTCCCGTGACCGAGCTTTACTACGGGCCATACTGTTTGTGTTTCTCTCTATCGTTTTCTTTTTTTTGAGCTACAAGTTTCTCTGCGCTAAAGTCGTGACAAAACTGTTGTTTTCTCTTGTCCGTTTTTGCTCTAGCGTCTAAAGATGTTATTTCTGCAATGATGGTATTTCTTCTTGCAAAGCTGCCATCTAGCGCAAAATTCGCTCAAATCACAAATTCATGCAAAGGCACTCCATATCTTTGTATACGTATTCTGTAGCCGATAACAGATGTTAACACGCTTTACTCAGTCGGGCTAACGCTATGCCTTCACCTTCGTCGGAGCCATGGAGACTACTGACTGTGGAGACGCTGTGCTTAGTGGTTGCTCAACCTTGATTCGAAGACTGCCGAGGCTCCGACGAAGGTGAAGTCACCGAAACGTTAGCCTGACTGAAATAAGCATGTTGACAATCTTGGTTATCGGCTACAGAATACGTATACAAAGAACTAGGTCGTTCCATAAGTTTGTAGCGTTTTCATTTTCGTCGTCGTTTTTAATGAAGCAGTTGGCTTACGGCAAATTATCTGGTATCAATCGAAACAGTCAAGTTTTTTCTACAAAACCTGCTTGTTGTTTTTGAAGCAATCCTGATGATCTTCGGTTCATAATTTTTTGAAACAAAGTTTTTTGAGTGGCAGAAAATGGCCATTTCGGCACCTGTGTTTTTCGCATTTCGTCCATATCTCACAAATATTTCTCTGTATGTATAGTCGGAGTAGCAAGTAGCAGGCAACGCTGTTGTGCTGACACAATGGTGTCCAGCCAATATGCTAAGAACTGTTTGAACGAAGTTTCAAAAGTTGCTGTCTTCGACTGCTGCAGCTCGAGTTTTACGCGTCGTTTCGTAACAGAAGTTCTCGTCTTGCTATCAAGCCTTGAGCGATGAACAGCTTTGTCTAGGTGGTGCAACAGTTTGAATGCAACCGGTGACCAGCGATTTCACGCTTTCCCCGAAAAATTTTGGCTCAGAAAACTTCCTCATTGCGGCCAAACGCAAAACATCTACACATACCGTAAAAGTGCGCTCTATCATTCTCTGTAGCGTCTCCCTTGGCAAGGATTCTTGTTCTACGCGCCTCATAGTCCGGTAAACAGTATACTTCATCATTGATAACAATTTCGATTAGGAATTTTCCTCTCGTAATTTCCGTATTTAGCGCCGAAGATGGAGATGCCGAAAGCGCCATTTTTTGCTACACAAAAACTCTGCTTTGAGCAGTCACAAAACAAAGGTCATCAGGTCTACTTTGAAGATAAAACGCAGTTCTTGTAGAGTAGAATTGGCTCTTTCGGAGGGTACACATATTTTGCGGTAAACCTACCGCTTCACAAGAAAACGACGACAAAAATAAAAACGCTACGAACTTATGGAACGACCTAATACTTTATCCAAGATTCATCGATAATCGAGCTTCCCTATATCATTTGTCTCTATGTACATGCAATTGGTCCTTTTGTTAGCTTGTATATAAAGCTGATTGTTTGTTTATGTGTGTGTCTGTAATGAATTCTCAGTACAAACCTATTTCTAGACCGATCCGGACCAAACTTTGCACACATACACTTTGGGGCAGGATGCGTCGGGTGTCGTGTATCGTCGATTCGTTGACTGCACGGACTGCTCAGACGCTGCGGAGCACGCGCTGTGCGGCTGAATTGTCGCGAGAGCACGACTTGTACAACGACGAATTTGTACTGGGGCAAGCATTTTACCTCGCGGCGCGTGCTCCGCAGTGATGTCCTGTCCGTGCGGTCAACGAATCAACTATACCTTCCTTTCGTTATCGATCGATAAATTTTATCGTTTTTCGCCTTGAGCTACGGGCTAGTCAGCACAGGGAGTAAATGAGTATGCTGATTACGAGTACAACAATAGGTTCTGCAAATTATCGTTTGCCTTTATCGATTTTATCAATTATCTGCACAGTTCAAGCTACAGGGCTTATCAAACGCAGTGTCACTTGCATCAGCATCTCCACTCCCGCGCTGAACTCTGCATCTCTTCTGTGCTCTCTGATCACTTCCCAGGGCGAGCGTGGGAAAGGCGGAGCTTCAGTCGATTGGAAGTGATTAGAGAGCATGTTCGCGGAAGAGACGCAGAGTCCAGCGAGAAGTGATGCTGATGCAAGCGACACTGCGTTTGATAAGCACTGTATGGTGCTGGGCTTTGGCACAGGGGGTAAGTGAGCATGCTGATTACGAATACAATATTGATTCTCAAAGTTATCGATGACTTTTATCGATTTTACCGATATTTGCAATGTTTGAGCTAGGGGTCGGGAGTTGCCGCAGAGGGGTAGTTGGGCATGCTGATTTCAAAAACAGAACGGGTATAGGGAATTGGCATGTGGAAGACGGCACAGGGAAAGGTTGCACAGGGATAGGGAAGGGACTTTCATCATAGTGTTTTGACAGGGTCGGGCGGAGCGGGTAAGCCTTGTATAATAATAGGGATGATCAACATTATTTCGTGGCTGGAAAAAGAGTGAGAAGAGTGGGAACGGTAGCTGATTGAATGTGCGCGTTGGAATTGGAGACCAAATTACGCTAAACACTTGGGCCTAAGTATCAACTGAGTAGATACATCACGAGATGGTGCGCTCGAGCTTGAGGAGGTGCAAGCGCATAATCTCGTGACGTTTTCGTCAGCTCCCAATCTGAAGACTATACGATTGATATGCAGCGCCCCTGGTTTTGCCAGTGCGGCTGCTGAGAGCCAGTTCAAAGTGTGATAAAATACTCATGCTTTTCCATTGCTTATTCATTGTCAATCCAATTCGCTTGCGCAAATCAAATCACCAACTTTATTCTTAACTAGCTGACAGCCCCGGCCTCACCCGAGGCTCCAAATTAGTTTAGCTAACAAAATATGTAAACTTACGCTTCTAAACTTCTTCAAATACGCGCAAATAGCGCTTTGAGACGACTTGCCACATCCTCCCGACTTTGGGATAGAAATGGACTCTACCGCCCGTGCTTACAATAGAAAAATGATCGGTTGAAGCATGAAAAGTTTTCATTTTTCTGGATTTCAGTAAACCAATCAATAAGTCGATAGAAGAGCCCAGTGAATCACCGCGAAAAGTAGCTCTAAACCACGTCGGGGTCGAAAATATACGTGTGCAAAGTTTCAGCTCAATCGGTTCAACGGCTGGCGTTTCTATAAAGCACTAACAACCTAACGAACATCCTCACAGACTTTGAGTTATATATATATATATATATATATATATATATATAGATTAAATGTAGTTAGTGCAACAGTAAAACTGGATATCATGTCAAGGCGCTTCATGGAGTTTTTGCTCTTCATATTGACTCCGTTGGCAGAATCCTGCTCGGGCAAGAATGAGCATCGCAGGTTTGCCAAATTTCAGCAGAACATTGAGAAAACTTGGTTTTTTAGTGACGCCGACCCAGACCTTTGGCCCGCTGAAAAACCTGCTTGTGAACACCGTTCAGGATGTTCAGCTACAAAAGGTCAGCAATGTATTTCCCAATTACTAGTCTCCGAAAAGCAATGTATTGGTTGTCTACCTAATAATCTTAACAAGGTAAGAAGTACAATGCCTGTTGCGCCGTCAATATCTTAAGAGATTCCAAACAAGTGTATTCAGATTAGTATGCTATAGCCAACTTGAGAATAAGGGAAGCAGACTGCAAACCTGCCCTTTTATGATTCATAGATATTGTTTGTTGTGAGAAAAATATCCCTCCACACACTGATCATGCATGGTGGAAACGCTATGAAACAAACAGGGCAGCCGTGTCTAACTCGAGAGCTTGATATGTACACTTAGATTAGCTATACAATTTCGAATCAGCGCTCGAAATCTTGCTCTTCTTGCTCTCATGTTTTCATTTATAACTTACTGCAGAACAATCCCATATCTGAAAAACTCAACTTGCAGGGGAAGGCACCTAACTTGTTCTGGCTTTTTGGAAAGAAATTATAGGGATGCAACAATAATGGCCGATTTGCGAATCCTCATTTCTATCACAACTATTTTGAAAATCCACATTTCCGCATGGGGTAAAAATTATCAAAAGCAGCAAACCTTTTGCAATACAGCGCACATTTGCATGTAGTCATATCACAAAGGTGCAGAAAAATACGGATTGCAAAATAAAAGAAGTATTATTTTCTGAAACCTTGTGTATGACAAATCATGACCTCTCTCACAATTAGTCAGCTTGAATTATAAGTAGCCTACCTTGTAGCCGCAAGCCAGTAGTACAAAACACTATGAAAGGGGTTTGGAGAAACAAAACTTGTGAAGAGGAACAAAATTAAAATTCAAAATTGTCAGTTTTACGACATTTTTCAGTATGCCTAAAAGCCCGGATATAGATTCTGATTTTCTGTGTACTGAACAGCTGGACGTTTCTGCAAAACCTGTTAATAGGATGCACTAGCATTAACTAGCTAGCTTACAGAATTGAGCAAAGCTTTGGCGAATGGCCTCTTCAGTAGAAATTATGAGTCATAAAAAACCCCAACGGCTATCCAATTGAGAAACCGATATCGCAGTTTGGATAACTCCAAAACTCATAGCATTAACTAGCTAGCTTACAGAATTGAGCAAAGCTTTGGCGAATGGCCTCTTCAGTAGAAAATTATGAGTCATAAAAAACCCCAACGGCTATCCAATTGAGAAACCGATATCGCAGTTTGGATAACTCCAAAACTCACAGCTAAGTATGCATGATGTAGACAATTTCTGTGACATCCCACAGCTAAATTTTTGAAAAAGCGCCATTCATGCGCTCTCGGATTCTGGCCAGAAAAGTGAATACAGTATAATTCCAAAGTTGGATGCGGTTATTTGAAGCTTAGTGGCTTTATAACAGATGAGGATGGAAGCCCGCTTCATCCAGCATTCGGTGCATAAAAACAGCTTCTCAATGGTACGCTATATCTGTTCCAAAGGTAAAGTTTTGATGGAAAAAAGTTGGCCTGAAAAAAGGCTTGGAAAATCGGCCACCATTTTTGCATCAACCTAAGATATATATACCAAACCAAACCGCTTCGCGGCACTTTGGTCTGGCCGTGTGTGGAGTGGGACATGCGTAGAAGTTTTGTGGAAGGCCTTCTCTTACAAAGTAATAAGTCCTCACGTACATCTATCGATAGTGACAACAACTTTAAAAAAGTGGATTTTTAGTAAGTCCTACGTGTTTGATGCCCTTGCAGTATAATTCTACTATAAAACTTCTCAGCCTTTGACTGTTTCGCATATCGAAGGCTTGAGGCAACGTTATAACCTATTGCAAGGAAAGACGTAAAATACAACTTCGTCATTACTGCTCTTGGGGAGACGGTGGCGTTAGCTCATAGTGCTTGATACGTCAAACTTGCTACGCGCAGCTAGCTTTGACTGACAGTATGAATTTTCCACAGGCCATTTTCTTGGAGAGTGATACAAAGCCCTTTTGCCATAATGCCTAAAGCGCGCCGCTCTACCTGCCGTACGGACTTTCCTGTTAAGGTTTCACGGTATTCAGCGGAAACATCTCCTCTTTCTTCTCGTACGGCTTCCCATTGAAGAGCCAGAATTCTGACTGCCTTCTTCTTGGATTTTGCGTACTTGAAAGCCCTTCGAAGATTCAGTCAAAGATATATTAAATGGTGCGTACTTAGCTTAAGCGAGACTCTTCCACTTTCTTTCTCCTCTACTTGGTTTTCTCCCTATGAGTTTCTACAAAATCATTTTGCAAGTTTTTCCTTCCTTAGTTTATCTCAACAAAACTGTACCTATGGATATATAGTCTTATAGACAGATCCAGGCAAATCTGGACCAATGGGGGTTTTATGTGGAAAGTAAAACGGCGTGGGGTCCTAACTGAGGCACTGCCCAAACGGCAGCGCAGGTGATTCACTAAAGGTTGAGATATACGCCTCCAAAGTGGACACCAGAATTGTATTTCGCATAGATTCATGGCGCAACCCATCAGTTTCATGAGGACCCACGCGAAATTGAGGGTTGCCACTTAAATCCATGCAAAATACGATCCTGGGGTCCAGTTTCGAGGGGAACATTTCAGCCGTTTGAGCACTACCTGAGCTGCAGGTTAGGCAGTGCCTTAGGTAGGGCCCCAAAATTACTTTACGAAAAATCCCCATGGTCCAGTTTGCCTGGACGCTGCCTTTAATTCGTGTTCCTACCGATTTCCACTCTTGGGCCTCTTTGCAATTTCCAAACGATAGTTATATGGTAATTTTACTCGCTCTTACTATCCACCCTTCTATGTTAGCTACAGTGTGCGCGTGACTGAAAAAGTAGAAAACCGGCGAGGCTGAAGAGGAGCTCGGACAAATAGTTTATTTTCTATCAACATTCCCACTTACCTCTCTAAGGAAAAATTACATCCTAGTTCAATTTTTGTAGTGGAATCTATTGTATCAAACTGATTTGGCAAGTGAAAATCACCCGTGCTTGTCATGGGAGATTGCAAAGGCAGGATCGACAACGATAAGAGTGAAAATGATTTTTGATGATTTTTTATCCGTTAGCAGGATCCTCGTTCACCTCGATAATTCTTTCAGGAAAGATATGCTCGTAATATTCCCCATGGAAGGTTGTAAAATGTTAACGTAGGCAGTCATTTAGAATGACACTCAACATCTTAAAATTGGGATTTTGAAAAAAGAATAGTTAATTCTTGAGCAGTTATAGCATATGTGCATTAGATCTGTTGGGAAGAGAGTATGGAGCGTATAGCATATATAACAGAATGCTTTCATAGAACCCCTTTCGTAGAAATGAGCGTAAATTTGGAATAAAGCAACAATGTAAAGATGGCCGCATAGTTAGTTGCATAAAACCGATTATGTAGTGATAGAAGTGTCATTGATTTACATGATCTTAGTGAATAACTGGTTTTGAAATTCCTGCGTCGATCCGTCGCGTCAGTCTCCAAGCGCATGACGGGTGTGCTTGCTCAATCATCAAAACAAAAGTGCTAGCCCTCACCATTTATGAAAACAGCAAACCAAGGTCGTTGATTGTTGCCGGTAAACGATGACGTCACCAGCTCGCGGCGGCTGGAGTGGAGGGGTGGGGGGTAAGGTGATAAGCCATCTGTTTGCGACTTCCTGTCCGTATTCATGCGAACCCAGTGGGTTCCGCAACATTGGGTAGGCTTAACCTACGAGATCGGTATTCAAGAAGCTAGTCGGTTCGCGTACTCAGTAATGCTTTTTAATATCGATCCAACCCAGCGGGACTATTTTCGCTTACCCACTGGGTAGCGGAACCCATTGGATTCGTTGATGAATACGCCACTGGCTTCACATAACGGCGAGGGAGGGGGGAAGGCTACACACTCGTGCGCTTTATTGTAGAATGATACATTTAAGATTGGCTTTGAGAGCTTTTTTGTGCTTATGACATACTGCTGAATGTGGAAAGATGGCTCTAGATAGAATTTTGCCTGAAAAATTGCTGGAATGACATCGAATTAAGTTTTTGGGTGCTGATAGAGAGATTTTGCAACTGCATCACCACTCGAAGATACGTACTAAGTCCTCAGACAAATCACCGGAACTTCCGCAGGGCAAGCAAAATTTGCAGCGGCTCCGCACGATTTTGTTTACTATTGCAAAAGTGGAAACGTTAAAAATGGGAACTTCCGCAGATTTTCACGTTAGACTGATGAAAACAGGAACGTCCGTAGGTCTTTATACAAAGCGCTGCGGAACTTCCGAAAAATGCCAGCGGTTCTGCAGCACTTCGACATGCCGTACTTCCGCAGGGTATTGAATGTGTTGTTTAATATGATGTTTCCTCGCCAACAACTAGAGGCATTATCGAACATGTCATTCGTAGTGCAAAGGATAGTAAGTGAGTCTCACAATCAATAGAGTAAGGTTCAAATCTTGCTTCGGTGTTCTCTTTTGGTGTTGTAGTTCGCATTCTTCGGAACTTCCTCAGCACGTCTACGGAACTTTCGCAAGTGACCCGGCGGAACTTCCTTAAACGTTCCGCGGAAGTTCCGATCAGTTGTCTGAGTCGATGACAATTTTGCATAGATAAAGTTCACTTCTTTAAACTAACGCTTCGCAGATTAGGGACAACAAAATTGGACTCAAGGATCCGAACTAATTACGATATGCGTCCTTTTTCAAAAGGCCAGACTTCATGTGCCTTTCCTGTTCGTAGATGTCAAGTAGGGAACTGGGAGGATCTAAAACAGCATTTGTAACTTTAGTAGATAACCGCAGTTGTTCAAGCCTACTCCGGCAAATCAAGTTCTAGTCGTTTGTTACTAAATCATTCATTATGTTCAGAGCACTGCGAAGGTGGATGGACCTACTTCAAAAAGACTGGTGCCTGCTATAAGGTCAGTTGCGCTAATTTTTCTGATGTTATTTAATAATATCTTGCCAGGTGCAAACTTACGTTTACCGTAGTCCTATCTACATATTACTTCTTATGCAACTCTTGTTTTTTTAACGATCCTTTTTTGAACAGAGTATATATCAACATTTTCGCTTATAAGCTCTTCTTCAGCTAAGCGTACCAGCCATAGATGCTGCTCAAAAACAATTTTGAGGGCTGCGCAAGTTTGTTATGTGAAAGTGGATGTCCCAGCCATATCATCGCTCAAATGCATAAATGAAGCTGAATATAAAGGAGGATGGGTCCGCAAGTCTTGTTAGTTGATTGGTAGGGTAGTTCCCCCGCACCCCGTATAGCATACCCCCGCCGCCCCTACCTCTGGGCTTGACAGACTCTACGCTTAACAGACTCTGCTTCAATCTTTCACGTTCAAATTGAGGATTTCATAGAAATTTCATTCCCGACAGTTTAGAATGAAGTGCGTTTTCGGGATCACAGCAGTGGTTAAATGGCGACAATATGAGTTCCTGTCTTTGATGGTGTTTGGTAGTAGATCCACCAGGGCACCGCAGCCCAAAACGTCCTTCAATTTATGCGCTAAATCCTGAAAATCCAGCTTCAAAAACCCACAATTGGCGCCCACTCAACGAAAGGGCGGGTTTGGTGGGCTTTTTGAGAGTGCTTTCAGAACACAGCTCAAAATTAGAGGTTGGGGATTCTCACGATGTATCTAAGGATTTTTTTACCTAACACAACACCCAAGTCTGATGGGGATCCAATTTGCAGAGGAAAAGATGATCTGCTTGAAGAAAAGATGAAGAATAAAATGCACAAGTTACTATCCTCACTTAAGTAACGTGAAAGCTCCTCGAGGTAAAAGTAAATGTAAAACTATTAAATGTTTTTCTCGAGCCCTTGAAACTGCAATAAAATTTCCAGTGCGCGTAGAGGGATGTGTTTTTTTTTGAGCCAAGCGTGAAGTTTGGTGACGTATACGCGCTTCACTTCTGCTTGCAGGCCACCACGGAAAGTGTTAGGATGAACTTACACTTTGATAGCTCGTAAATCAACTTTGATAGCTCGTAAATCATTCCCCAGTTGCCTGAAACGAGCGAATCCTAACTGAAAATGAACACTCTCGCTATTACATCCTCACATGTTTCAAAGTATTGTATGTTCCTCACCGTAATTCCGGTAACGGACAAACTCTACACAGCAATAGCTTAAGCGGCTTATTACATGTCGTGATATTAGTGATTCTTACTGCGATCACCACGCGTTTTAAAATGCTGATGAATGAAGCACTTCAAGTTTGTTAAATTTGAATTTGATGTTGGTCACAAAATCTGCATACAAATATACGACTTTATGGTGGAACATTTGTTCGCAAATCCCATTGCCTAAACCAAATAGTTTTCTCATCATAGTTTTCCAGTATCAAGTTGAACTTTTCGGAAAAGTGCGTACGAAGCAGCTCTGTGCAAAAATTCCCACCTCTATCGAGATTCATTTATTAGGTTGGAGACCTAGTTTTGCACCTTCTCAACAACTTTTCTCTATCGGAAGTAGTACACTTATTCTTTGACATTATCATGTTGTGAACTACAGATGCAACTACATTCTGCAATCTCCCCATCGGAGTAAGGATATCGCTTGATATACGGTGGAGCGAAAAAGTTGCAAATCATCATAGATTGACTGAAACTTCTTTAAGTTATTTGGCGTGCTGGTCAAGTAAATTCATAAGTATCATATAATGAAAACAAGTATAACACGTTTTTGCATGATGTAGCCATTTTCGATCTAGATGAAATCTTCATAGTGAAAACAAAAATGAATATCGTCGAGTCATTTGTAAATTGATATGCCTAGTGCACACTCAACACGCTAACTGACGAACTGCAAAACTAGAACATGCTCATTTCCCGTGATTTCTCCTTCTTTCCTTATCTCTCTTGTTTTATTGGTTACATGTTAGTTAGTAGAACACATTTCTACACATTGCTGGACTGGAAAATGTTTACTGGGAAGTTACAAGTATGGGTGCCGTCGCTAATAGGGTATAGTGTGCAGTCTCACACATTAAGTTACGAATGACTCGAGGTTATGTTGTTTAGCCTGAGGTACCCCATTATGCAAGGTCTCAGCATTGTGGGTATTCCGTGGTCACTAACCAATACGCACTGACGATAGCATTTCGTTTCAACATCTCGAGGGCGCGCGCCACATGTAAGAGACCACAAAACTGCGTTTATTCAGAAAGTTTGGAGCAATTCTCTCATTTCAGAAGCAGAGCAGTGCGCGCTTCTTGAGTAAAATTGTTATCACGATACGCGCCATCGCAATCCACATTTCTCTCGTTATCGTCATATCTGCCATCTATCACGCTGCCTTTGAGGAAGTCAAGAAATGGCTTTCAAATCAAAAAAGGTGGATGTTATCACTGCACTAATAAATGACAAGGCTCGCACTTTCTTGCAGAGCGGCTTCAGCATCTTTGGCAGTTGCTCATCTACGCAAAAATTCAAATAATCTCGGCCTAAGATACTTAAGAAGATTGAGAAAAGAGTGCAAAGCGTTGATTCATCTTTCCAAACTTACTAGTTCAAACCTGAGAAATATAAGGGCCTGGGCTCGACACAGCTGGCTCTGGGTCATGCTGGATATCGTTTTTGGGACAAAAAGCAAAGGGAATATTGTTTTTGTGGCCGAAAAAACACAAGAATTGTAACTTTTTTAGTCGACATTTCGTTTTTGAGTTTTTTACGTCTAGAGTTGATTTCAAGAGGAGTTTGTACGAAATTTTCAAGATCTTGGTGTCAGCTCTTGCCGAGCCCTTATTAGGGAAGATGTGCAGCCGCGTATGTGGACCAGGTCATACGTATACGCAAGCTATTTTCGTAAACACGACACTATAATTAAAAAGTCACCGAAATGTTGTGGTTAACACCTACCCTTACTTTCAAGCGGTATCTACTATCTTGCAGAATGGAAAAATTCCAGTAGAATAAAGCAATCTAGCAAACCTCTGTATCGTGCATTACATCACCTTGCACTTCATAACAAAAAGTCGGAAAACTGCATTATTTTGTTAGCCTTCTATGTAAAATGCTTACACTGTTAATGGGAAACCTTAACCTCTCATTTTTATAGCCAAATTTGCGCTGGCGCATAGTTGAACGGCAATAAGGTTTTCTGTTGATTATACAGGGTGTCCCAAAAGTAAGTACACACTTTTCATTCGTCAATATCTCTCTTCCCAATGGGTCTTTTTTGGCCAGTTAAGTGTCATTGTGTAGAGGAGGCTTTAACTTAGATCTACTACAGTATCGATCGAATCACCGATCGCTCTTCGTTACTGCAGGATTACGGTAAGAACTTCCAGCACATAACTTTTTCAAAAAATCTGAAAAATCGTGTACCAAGAATTTCGCGCACGCTGATTCCACTACACAACTTTTCACGAGTTTTCAGCTTTTTTGGCGGTGCAATCAAATTTCAGACTAATACTGGGAATTCGGTTATTAAGGTTTATCTGGGATATTTTTGGAAAGAAGCATCACAGTAAAGCGAATTTCATACTCGAAATCAGCGGCTTCCATTACCATAGTGTTAGAGATTTTAGCTTGTTTGGTTTTGTTCCGAGGCGGAATATGGCTTCCAATGGCTTGAAATCCTTGTCGAAGTTCCTACAGTAATCCTACAGTAATGAAGAGCGATCGGTAATTCGCTCGATACTGTAGACCTAAGTTGAAGCCTTCTCTATAGAATGGTACTTGAATGGCGGAAAAAGACACAATGGGAAGAGAGATATTAACGATTGAAAAGTGTGTACTTACTTTTGGAACACCCCGTATATTGATTGAGGATAAAGAGAGAAATCTTAATTCGCCCGAGGATGCTTGATTGGGCGAGATACACAATAGCAGATGGAATGTTTTGCCAACCAAAATAAAGAGACAAAATGATGTCGTTCCTTTACCTAGCTTGCAGTGTAAACAAAAAGAAATTAAAAGGTGTTTTCGGGTAGATCCACAAACGCAAACACGGCTTCATTACCGTATATCGCAGAAGGAGCAGAGTTCACAACAAATGTGGCTGCCCTCGCGCCCGTTTGAAGACGCTAGTGCGCCTTTGGGTAGAACAACAAATTCCTCAATTAGATTCGGTTCATGCTGATCCGTAAGTTTTGGAGCAGTTCCAGCACAACGCTCTCGTGTACATCGTGGTCCAGTAGTCCGCGGAGGTGGTGCTTGATCGTGATATTCATTCTCCTACCCTGGCCTTCGTCCGGCAGTACTCTTTACAAACATAACTGCAGAAAATTTTTCGCGATTAAGAACAGCTTGGAAGCACATAGGTGTTACCTTTGAACCAGCAGTTAGGTCGTTATATAAGTTCGTAGCATTTTCAAGCACGTCCTCGTTTTTCTGGAAAGAGGTTGTTTTCCGGCAAGTCGCGCACACCGTTGAAAAGTGCTAACCATGTTTTTTTACAGTGAACTTATTGGTTTCGATTTAGAGCTGACCGCTGATTTCTTAGCTTCCAAATGTGAATTTTCAAACGACAAAAATAAGCATTTTCGATATTTGCTCATTTTTTCTTATTGAAAGTGTTTTGCACTGATTTTTTTGTGAATACGAAAAATGGGCCTTTTCGCCGATATGAGACAAAAAGGATGAGATTGTTCCAAAGAAACTAAGAATTTGCACGGTGCCCCTTGAACAAGATTTTTTGCAGGACGGGCAGGAGGTTCTGCACTGAAAATTGTTAGACAAAAACAAAACGGTCGCTTATACCGCACGCACCCAACTGTACCGTCCAAACGAATCTCTATTGCGAAAATGACTCGATAGACAAGTACAGTGAGTTTTTTTGCATGACTAAGTATGGCTCCGTCTGGCAAAGTCCTATCTGATATGCTTCTCATCTCGCCCCACTAGTTGATCTGCTGTCTTGCTCTCTTGCAAATCGTATGAACGGTGCTTGTTCTTTTTTAAAGTGATCTTAGGCATTGGTTAGAAGACTTTTTTAGAACCAGACCTGCTGAGCTTTGAAGAAACCAAGTCAAAAATTTGGCGGCAAGCTGGCACTAGGTTGCGTGTAGCAAATGCATCATCGACTGGATACTGACAAACTTGTCACTTTGTTAGTTTAGAAAGACGCTATGAACTTATAGAGCGACCTAATAGACAAGATATCACAATGTGGAAGAGAAGTGGAATTTCTAAGGAACCCGCCGATTTTACTTTCTCTACCATGTCCGTGATCAAAATACAGCAAGTGCATGCATTTAGCAACTGTATGCTGTATTGATTTCAAGCAAGAAAATTGTAATTTTTGTAGCATTTTCGCACGATCCAATTTTTGAAGCAAGCGTTGCTCTGTATAGTAGCGTCTTACAATTTTTGATGTTCCCACTTCTTCGATAGTTGAAAAAAACAACCCTCTTTTTCTCCAACTTGTTGAAATCATGTCTTACTCGTTGCAGAATTTCTTTTGGGAAAACTTTGATAACGCTGAAAAAGTCTGCAAAAAGAATGAAGGACATTTGGTCTCTATCCACAGCCGCGAGGAAAATGATCTAATAGCCTGTAAATTCATTTTCATTCTATTCACTTGTTAAACATCAACAATTCGTTATCTAATGTATTCAGCGTTGGCAAAAACTGGTATACAGTGGAGTGAATGGACGCAGCTGACTTGGATAGGCTTAAGAAAATCCCCAGGAAGTGATGATTGGAGTTGGACTGACGACACGGACGTTGACTATCTAGCATGGGCTCCGAATGAACCAAGTAACACTGAAGGAAAGGAACACTGTGTGGAGGTATTCCGCTAATGTTATGAACAGAGGGCTTCATTGTCTGGATGCAGCTTTCAGCAATCTATCAAGAAGAATCGTTTGCCAGAAATTTTCAAAAAGAGGACTGCGAATTCTAACAAAATCGCCATTTTTTAGTTAAGAGAAAACTGGAGTTTGTGAGCGTGCTGAAAGAAACTTGCCAGACATGGCTCGGCAAATTTTTAAACAATTGTGCAGCTATGTTAATAAGGTTGTTCGCCACTTAATGGGGCACAACACCAAGTCTGGTCACTGCACCTAGCATGAGAAATTCGCTCCCAAATCAGCTTGCACTCGACCGAGCTTTCTATTTCACTTCCAATGTCGCAGTGTTATAACCCCAAATGTCTTGCAACAATTTGCGTCTCCAACCTTGGTGGTGACTTTTTCAATTTTCTAAATTGGACGAAGCGCTTTGGAAAATAATCATGTTTGTCATTTTCTCGCTCTCTTCAAGTAGGTAAAAAATTGTCGGGTCGATGATATGCCATGCCCTGCCTTTCTGCACGCGCGGCCCTAGGTTCCGGTAAGTAAGCACAAAACTCGTATTTTTTGAGAATAGTTGAACGATTGAGGCAGCTTTTCAAGCTGCATTTCAAAGTTCACTTGGTAACATGCATTTCGTCCTAAGTCACAGGTGTAAGTTAGATGCTGTTTATAAATGAGACGAGATGTAGACTTATATGCAAACTTATGCCGTTTTATCAAGAACCCAATGGGTTCCGCTACCTAATGGGTTTGCGAATGCAGTGGTTCGTGGGTTCGCGAACCCAGCGGGTAAGATCGGTATACACATTGCTCTTCTGGGTTCGTTAACCCAGTATTCAGCGGTGTGCTCACTGGCGTTTATTTTGAGCAAACCCTGGCTCTTTGCAGTGCGTGTTTAATTGTAAAAAAGCCGCGTGTATGTAAACCTCCAAGTATAATCAAGCAGGTATGGTCAAACAAGCAATATGTCTGCATCCTAAACTATCGAAGTTAAATTTTTCAGATTTCGTACGTATGGTGCCCAAGTTTGTTGCGAGATATAAGCACCATTGCTGCTTGAATACATTTTCGTCAGAAATACCTCATAATTTATCGACTACCTGCTATTTTGCTTGATTATAAGGTCACTCTAAGTTTTCAGAGCGGTATATATTGCGCTATGTATCGTCGCATTCACATGCGCTTCCGATGATATAAAACGTGGGACTTAGATGTCTTAGGGTCAGACTGCGCGGCGTACGCGGCGTACGCTCCATATCTTTAAAGGCAGTGTCTCACCAAAGTTGAGGTCACGCGGATCTTCACATATTCTATAATAGGGAGCTCTAAATAGGCCATTGCAACAGGTCCCACTCAATTTGACCCCCTCCACGCTGAGAAAAATCCGCTCAAAGTGGTACGCGGAAAGCGAGTTGGTACGCGCGGACGACCCCTTCGGTCTCCCTCCTAACGCGTTTGAACATGTCCCTCCACTTGGCATCCACCTCCCCTCTGTTGCTGCCACTGTGACTGAGGCTGCAGTTGGAAGATACAACTCGTCCACGTTGCTTCCACGGGGCTTCCAGAACACGGGGTTTTTGGAAACTTCGTGCGATTTTAAGCCCATACAGTGCTAGACAGGGTCCGACAGGCTTGCAAAACGCAAAAATCTCGGCAACTAAATTTTGGTAGACACTGCCTTTAAGCACGTGAGCGTACGCCGCGTACCCAGCGTACGGTACGCTGCGCAGTCTGGCCCAGCACGTGGAAAGTCGACCTATGTTATCAATATTCTAGATTGTTTAAAAGTGCTCAAAATAGAGAGAGGAGTAACCAAATGTGACTATGACTAAGATGCCCAGCATCGATCAGTTTTTTTTATCGATCTTTTTGGATTTCTTATGGCAGGGGTCAAGAATGTAGAGAGCGGTGTTCGTGGCAGAGCGAGTCTTCGAAAATGGATTACATGATTTTGCCAATACTACACAATGCCGCAAGCAGCGCGTTCGTTTCCCCATGAAAAAGGAAGTTCTTTCTAGTTTGAAATATGCAAAAAATTCAAAGAAGAAGCAAAAGTAATTTCAGTAACGATTCATACTGATTCGTAGCTATCATGAAGTCTGAATTCCTGTGGTTCTGAGGTACATAGCTTCAGCAATCATCAGAAATGCTTAGATCCTTTGCAATGAATTTCCCTCAAGAAATATTTTACATTTTTACTTGGTGGTTGGCACCAAGATGTACAGGACATCTCGGTGAAAAAAACCTTTCTAAAGTTTATCTACAAGGAATTGCAAAAGTCTGAAGAGGTACAGAAAGTACATGATATTGATAATAATAACCATTGCTGCATACTCAGTTAGTCGTAACATTCAGCAAAGAAATGGGTTCGCAAGTAAGCTACTGCGATTTTTGTCTCATGACTGAGTTTGATAGCACAGTGCTTAGACCCACAGGAACTAGGTTACTTGTTTCGTGAATGCCGGTATGCCCGATTGGGGTCGATTTGACCCCCACTGGGTTCAATCGTAATTTTCGGTTAAGCGGCTTTTTGCGGGTTCCGGAACCCACTGGGTAGGCTTAACCCAATGGAATTGAGACCCACTAGTTCCGTGAATACGGGTTTCAGGGGTTAAACACCCAGGTTACGGAACCCATAGGGTTATTACCACTGCAAGAGATGACTCGCTGCATAACACGTCGCTGAAATTATTCTTACTCACTTTTCAGATTTTCTGGCTTTCAGTCAAGCAACTTCTTTATTCTTGCATTTGAGTTGGTTCATCTCAAAATCTGATGAGAATCCTGTTTCAGCTGTTCAGTGACGACTACCACATCCCTAATCCTATGACACCATTTGGAAGTTGGAATGACTTAGACTGCAGTGAGAAGATGAGGTCGTTTGTGTGCAAAAAGAAGGCGTTGCATTAAACACTACTTGCTTCCAAATTTTAGTGTTCAATCGATTTCTGATGACAATTGACAATTAGCAATAAACTTTGGCTTGTTGCGAATGTTTTCTACATTGAGAAAACCAGCTACCCTATTTTGGTGTATAACTCGCGGAGATGTTCTTTTAGAATCGACCAGCCCAAATACGCCAAAGAAAGTGTGGCATGAGGATCGCTCTCCAAAACACAGTAAAGGGCTAAGCAACTCGCTTCCAATTTGGAATTGAAAAATAGCAATCATTTATGTTCTTGTGCCTTCTCCTTCTCATGACCAAAACCCCCTATGGACATAGTTGTTAAGTCAGAGATATTCTCTTGCTGAGATTCCACTGAAGCAGATCGTTGCAGCGAGGAGTTAAATTATTCAAAATAGAAATTTTGTGGCAGCCTAATTAAGTGATCACATCTGTTTGTGTTAAATTGTGCTCTTGTTTTCAGAAAGAAGTATATGATATTTCGGGAGGATAAAAAGTATGTTGTCTCCGACATGCTTTATCAGTAATCTACCTTCAGCCACATAACTTGTTGACGATGGCTATAGGAATAAAACATAGCATAAGTTAGAGCTTATGCTATGTTTTACAGCTGAAATTCCCAACTAATATTCACACCGCGACAATATTTTTTAAGCTTTCGAATAATGAATTTTTTTTGGCGTGGTCCGCTCCTAGGTGGACATCCACCGAAGTCAAAGGGAGTCTTTCATATCTTGGAAGACACTGAAAGAGTATACGGACAACTGTACGTTGCGAACAAGTAGAACAAGTTTTGCTATTATTGCACTGCAGATAATTCCTGAGAACAGCCTTAAACTGGGATAACTTTGCAGGAAACAAATGCCGCCTCAAAAGCCTATCAATGTCCTGAACGATCCGGCACATGAAGAATTTCTTGCGTAGCATTAACCTGGCTCTAGGGATAATGAGCTTTGTACTACCTCCCCTTGTATTGGATGTTCTGGTTGGGAAAAACTTCTTGAGTTGTAATCCGCATGTACTATAGGCAATTATGAGCCATCACAAGATCAAATTTGCGCCTTCTGTAGGCAAGTGAGGAAAGTCCCAAATTTGTATTGCGCGTGTTTCCGTTTAAAATGAGATCATAATGGAACCTGTTTGACATATGAAAAGTTTCCGAGTGAAGTTGTTCTAAACTTTCTCGATATAGTTTATTGTTTTGCACAAATACGGATTGTAAATCTCAGTACCATATTCCAACATGGGTCTGATGACCGGCTTATACGCTTGCAAGAAGACAGCTGCATCTTTGTTTTCAAATGCTCTAAACAAATTATAAACCGTTCTTGTGGCTTTGTCAGCGATCATTTTACAATGTTCATCAAAAGTGAGTTTACTCTTAACCATAAACCGCAGATCCCTTATTGAGTGAACTTCTTGGAGATAATGGTCCTCTAAGAGATACTCGAACTTTGGATTGCAGTTGCTCGATCCGACATGGATCATCTTAGATGGGCAATGACCACTCCTTTGACCAGTTTTAAACTTGATCTAGGGCTTTTTGCAACACATTATAACCAGACACATCCCTTACAACAACATACAGCTTGAAGTCATCTGCGAATGCACAACAAGAAATTCCCTGGTTAACAGGAATACTTGGTAGCTCAAACGTATAAATGTTGAGCAGCATAGGAGAAAGGACTCCACCTTGCGGGGCCTCCACTGTGCATTTTCCGAGGCCTTGAAAATGCAGTATTGACGCGAACCGTAAAAGACCTGTCCGCAAGGAATGCTTTGATCCAGGCGATAACGCAAGGATGTATACCGACCATGGTTAATTTTTGCAATAATTTAACATGAGGTACGTTATCAAAAGCCTTGGTAAAAGCGAGATAAATTTTGTCAATGTTAAGTCCCTTATCGAAATTTTGTGTCCAATTATTCAGAGATTGGAGCATGGGTGTAGTGGTAGATTTACCACTTTGAAATCCATGTTAAAACAGAGAGATGATCTTGTGTTTATGCAAATGTCTAACTATATGTTTCTTCAATATCTTCTCAAAAAATCTGGCAAATATAGAAGTAATACTGACAGGTCGAAAGTTTTTTTGCAGAATTATACGGTTTCTCTTTCGGTATTGGTGTTACATGTGAAGTGCGCCATCTAGGCGGCACTTCTGCACCCATAAAACTCTAAACTCAAGCTGCACAAAAATTGAAGAAGTCCGCCTATAATGTGTGCTACTGATTTTATGAAATGTAGCGGTAACAAATCCTGTGTGAGTGAAGTTGAGCGGGGCCAAGAGATCAGCAACCTATAGATGTCATCGGTAGAAAAACCAGGTTCTTCCTCCATTGCAGGAAAACACGGAAAATGTGAATTGATTTCCGTGGAGGCATTTTCGTGGAAGTTGTTTTCGAAAACAACAGCAAAATGTCCTGCCTTATCGAAGTCATCAGATATAATGGACCCATTCTCGTCTACAATTACTCCGATCTTACTCTTTTGTTTGAGTCTAGAACTGATCAATCTGAAAAATGGGCCTACTTTCGCGACTAGACTATTTTCCTTTCAACAGAAGCATTGTATTTTCTAAGCCTTTTGGTGAAAATCGTGTTCATTCTAATATACTCGCTCCAGTTCTCATTGCTCCCACCATGAAGTACTCCACTACTTTACTCCATGCACGTTCTCTCTATCATATAATCTACGAAGATATCTGGAAAGGTATATGGTTTTTGGTGGAATTGAGACCAAGGGAACGTATCTATCAATGGCATGGTCAGAATGAATAAAAATAGTTCGTACATATCGTTAATGTTATTGACTGTTAAAGGATCCATGCCAATCTATATCGGCTAAGTATTTAATCAATTTGTCCCAGTCTGCATGTTCAAAATCTCTCCGTATAAGGTATAGGACACATAAGCTTTATAGAGTCGTTTCAGAATCACTGGGTCATTTGCATGAACAGATCGAAGCATAACTTACTGAAGGCATAATCTATTAGCTCGCCCCAAGAGTTCGCTCGCACCATTTTGGAAAATTCATGCCTTCTGCTTTTTCCAGACGATTTCGACAGTTTTATTTTTGTTTGGAATTTTAGATCAAGCTTTTCATAACGGTACTTTAGTGGCTTACTAATGACCATTTGTTGCATAGATAGGAGCGGTAGAAGAAATTGAGCGGCCGGTGTAGGTTTCATCACTTGTTCTTTCTGAATGAACAAAGTTTGTGCTGATTGAAGGTTTCTATCAAAGTTATGATTATGAGCAAGCAATACAAAAAGGCAGATTTGACCTATTTCTGCATTTGGTAGGTTTCCATTATCCGCACCCATTATTTCAAAGAAGAATATTGCTTCTATCCTTGTACCATATTTGGTCTCAGCCTTACAGGGAGGAGTGCCAAAATTCTGCCACGTTTCAAAAAAAATTCAAAATGTCATTTACATGCTTAACAGGTTTTACCAAGAGGTTTCGTTCAATCTGTTTTGTAGTCAATTTCGACCTCATTTCGATCCAGCATTTCAAAGTGAACATTGTCATAATAATAACGACTTAATTTTATCTATGAACGGACTAGACTTGCTCGGAAGAAGCGCGCGAGGATATTGTCATTTAAGAGGCGAAATAAGCGGCAGCAAGGGGCTCTAAGCTTCATTTATGGTCTTTTCTGGCTAAAATCGCATGGTTAAAAGGGTTTGAAGAGAAGGGCATTATTAAACCACTACTGAAAGCAAGCAAGATGTTCTAAAATAAAATCATGATTGTTTTGCTCTTATGTAAAACAATTAAACAGCTCAGAAGTGATTACATGTTCTCTTTTACCTCCCCGGAAATGGTTTCGAAAAAAAAATGTCAGGATAAACCAAAACGTGTCAATTTTTTTGTGACACGTGGCAAGGAGGCAGTCCTCGTAGAAACTAAAAAAATTATTCTTAGACTAGAGAAAGTATTACATGAGAGCCTTTCGAAAAAATGGGTGCGGATAACGGAAAAGTACCCTGTATTTTTCTCGAAAATCATAACTTTTGATGGACACGTTCAATCAGCACAAACTTTTCTCATTTAGAAAGACAGGTAACAATAAGACCAGCCGCTCTGATTTTTATTGCAAATTTCAAATTTTTTGTGACCCTACACAGAAAATTCAAAATTTGAATTATTTTCTTCTACCGCTCCTATCTATGCAACAAATGGTATCTAACTATTGCGCCACTAGTGACTTTATGAAGAGCTTGATTTACACTCCCTAATCAAAATAAAACCATTGAAATCAGCTGGAAAAAGCAGAAGATATGAATTTTTGAATGTGGTGCGAACGAACTTTCAGGATGACCTAATATACAGATTGAAAAATTCGACACTCAACTATAACGCCCAGGTCCTTGGCAATAAAACCTTTCTCAAAAGAATTTCGTTGACCTTATACTCAGGTTGTTCCTCTTCACCGAATTCATAACAAGACTAGTTTTCTGAGTTTAGTGGGATAACAAAGCAAGAAACCCGTAAACCATCAACTCTAACGTTCTCGTCACCGCAAACTGCACTTCGTCCCGGTTATCTATTATATTAGGTTGGCACGAAAGTTCTTGCGTAATTCAAACAAAATTCAATAACTTTCCAAAGACTTAACCTAAATTCACAATCTTGTATGCTAAAAATACTAGACGTCTTACGCTTCATAATGGATGTTTAATCGTAAGATTCCGTGAGCTGGACATCAAGAACGAAGCTCTCGAATATGGGGCTTCAAATTTCGCGATTTTGAGTTTGGTGCCAGAAAATCGCAGAGTGCCGCTAGCTAGCCGAAAAAAATTTGCAGAATTTAGCTACACAACAAAAGTCCATATGTAACTTTGGAAGGCTTTGATCTTGCACGGTGAAGCAAAAACAAAAAATTCGTGAAATAAGTCATTTTGTGGAAAAAAATCCCCTCATGTCCGCAGTTTTCCGGCGAAGACACTTTTTTACAATCGAGAAAACGTCGCAAGGCTCTAAATAGGCACTATGTTTAATTTCTGGTTGCAAATGTGTTTCTGTGGAAAAGTTAGTGCGATGAGGGGATTTGTCCTGTGAAATGAGAATTTTCACAAATTTTTTGTTTTCGCGTTTCCATGCGAGATCAAAGCCTGCTAAAACAAAGTATGGACTCTTGCTGTGTAAGTAAATTCTACAGATTTTTTTCGGCTAGCTAGCGGCACTCTGCGATTTTCTGGCACCAAACTCAAAATCGCAAAATTTGAAGCGCCTTATTCGAGAGCTTCGTTCTTGATGTCCAGCTCACGGAATCTTACGCTTAAACATCCATCATGAAGCGTAAGACTTGTAATATTTTTAGCATACAAGATTGTGAATTTAGGTTTAGTCTTTGAAAAGTTATTGAATTTTGTTTGAATTACGCAAGAACTTTCGTGCCAACCTAATATTTAAATCCCATAGATTTTGGCATAATTTTGCCTACACTTGGATTGTGAGATGAGCAGATGTCTTCGAGATAGACGGTTTGGTGGTGTACAACAGAAACACTGCGAGAGATGTAGTTGAAAACTGATACTACCGGAAGTAAGTTTTTGCGAAAAACTCAAGTTGGCCTAGTTTGTACCTGTGTTTTTGCATGTTAACCAATGCTGTACGTGCACTCTATATTCATTGAATGTTGCATGTCAGTTTGATTTCTGTTAGCATTCTACTTCCTTTTCAAATCTTTTAGGGACTTTCAAAGGACCAGTGGACTGTTTTGGGATTGATAAAAGAAGAAAGTGTTGTGTTTGAACGATGACCCAGCTTATAGGGGTTTCTTGCAAGGATCTTGATAAGAGATAAACTATGCACTTACGCATGTTTGCTTGGCTACCATGATCTAGTCATATGTGTTTTCCTTTGCTTCTTAAATAATCGGATAAAGCCAACCAAACAAGTCAACATTTATACAAAATATAAAGTCAGTGAATATCGATATACTCGCGCTGGTAATCGTAGCACTGATCCATGCACTTCGATAGCTGCTGAACTTCCATCTTGAACCAAAAGATCCACAACCACCCCGTTTTGAAGCGTTGCCTACATTCATCTTTGCACTGAAAGACAGCTGTTGTAGTGTGGAAACCATCACTTAGAAGGAGAGCAAACCTGACTCAGCTCAAACGCGTCGACGTACTCTAAGCTCTGGATATAAGCATTATCCGTGTAATTATAATTTGCAGCTACAAATGCAAACACCATTAGCAAGCGGAACAGCAAATTCAGATGCATAATTTCTCAGGCTGGAATTATCTTGTATCCATATATGTCAACATAGATACTTGGTAGAAAGTATTGTAAGACGGGCAAGTGATCTGCCTCATAGAATTCTTTCCAACCTTAACTTCTTAGAGCATGTTCTTGAATACGCATGCAGAAACTGATGATGAGATAAGGCAGTTTTTTAAGGTTATTATGGCACAGTTGGGTTAAATAATGTGTACATTGAAAGGTTTTTGTTGAAAGCTTAGAAGCTTTTTGTTGGCTTCGAAGAAAGAAAAATGATTTTGCAGAAAGGACGGTCGGCCGCCGGGGATCATCAGGAGATCATATAAAAGCTGAAAAATGCGGCGTGTGCAGCTTCTCGCTCGTGTTCAATATGTCTATAGTGAAGGATGACATGAATCTTACGGAGAGGTAGACAGCGTGAAATCCGGAAATTCGGATCTTCAGGATATGAAGCTTTCTGTTGAGCTGCGATTACCCGGCGGGGATGTTAATGCATGTGGCCCTAAAGACCGCATGCATTAATATCACCGCCGCGGAAGGGATCGCAGCTTAGAAGAAAGCTTCATATCCCGAAGCTCCAGATACCTAGATTTGACGCTATTACCTGTGTGTAAGTATTCCTACTTTCTTTTACTATAAACATATTAAACACATATATATTATATTATATATTGACATTTTAAACATACATATATTATTGAACAGGAGTGAGAAGATGTACAACCCGCACTTTTCAGCTTTTTGTATGATCCTCTGACGATCCACGGCGGCCGACCGTCTTTTTTTTGAAGTCATTTTACTTGGAAACACATTCCAAAGTTGTACTGATTATCTAACCCAACAGTGCCAAGCATATTGCTGATGAGAACAAATGAGTTTTTGAAATATCGAAGTTTTCGATAAACCCCAACTTTCGACCTTTGGCTCATCGAAAATTTCATGATTCTAGAACATCAATTATTCTTACCTGCAACATGCTTAGCACTGTTGGATTAGATAAGCAATACAACTTTGAAATGTCCTCATTAACTCTGAAGAAAGAAAAATGACTTCAAACGATAGACGGTCGTCCCCCGGGGATCATCAGGGGATCATACAAAAAGCTGAAAAATGTGGCTTGTACAGCTTCTCGCTCCTGTTCAATATGTTCATAGTGAAGGATGGTGGGAATACTTACTGATAGATAGGCAGCGTGAGATCCAGATATCTGGAGTTTCAGGATATGAAGCTTTCTTTCAAGTTGCGATCCCCTCCCCAGCAAGAATGAATGCATGCGGCCCTAAGACGAGCCTAGGGATGTTGCGGAATACGAGCTTTTGGAGAACCTTCAAACCCTTGTCACCGCACACGGATGATTTCCCAAAAAAACTTTCGAGAAGACTCAGCTTTTCGAAGATTTTACAGAAGCAACGCGGGCGAGATGTACTCTCTACCCGTTTCCCGTAGGGTCAAAACGTCTAGGACTGGGGCAAAAAAACACATGGAAAACTCTTCTAAATGTGAGAGGAATTGACTGGCGGGTTGTTCATCATAAAATCACCCTCTGCGGACCACTTTCAATAGCAGTCTCGTTGTAAAAGTATTTTTGCCTAGTTCATCCTAATTTTCCACTTGCGAGAAGTGACTGATTACTGCAAATGGAACATCTCATGAGTCCTTTTACTGTGCTGTGCAAAACTACAGAACCAACCTAGTACATCGCTCTCATGCCTGTTAGGAAACCTACTGTCGAGAGCAGCACGCCAGCAGCACGTGCGGGCGCATATCATAAACGCCTGCTTGCCTAAACTTTGCATAACGAAACCACGTCCACAGTAGTAAAGTCAGTCAATCAGTTATTTTTCTTGGAAAGTGCCGGGGACGGCCAATCGTCCTGTAACGCGTTAATCATCATTACATTGTAGGACTATCCATAGCAGTGGGATGCGCTTGAATTGCAGAAATATGCAAAGTAAACAAAAAGTCTTATCTACTGGCTTAATGAAAGCAATACGTATCACAGTGTATAAGATAGAAGCCTGAATGACATTAATTACCACAATTTCTCATTGCCTTACTGTTTGGTCCCCACCCTAAGACTGCGAGGGCTGTTGGCTCCCGTCTAGCAAGTTTGGCTATGTCGGGCACGGCAAGACCGATCTCGGCAGATCGGGCTTGCCGTGCCCGTTCGCACCATGATAACAAAACTACGGGTAAAACACGCCTGTTCGTGCCGTGTATAACGGTGCAACGCGCTCGAATAGAGAGAGGGAGATTTATAAATACCACCTTGGTGGACTTATGCGTATACCAACCTATAACACTTACAAGGGGCATCGCTTTTCAGTTCAAGTGCTAGAATTTCGGTTTGAAGGCTGATCAAAGCTATAGGACCAGCTAAGTATCCTAATCACCTAAGCACTTCCCAACTTTTAAAGGTTTTTTTTAACGAATTCATCGTCAAAAGTGCAAACTTGGTGCTGAAATGCAGATGGTTGTTGCAGGGCAGATGCTTAAAGGCAGTGTCCGGGCAAAAACTCAATTTTTAGAAAATCCACTCAGCGGGGGTTGTCACAAATTACAATTCAAACTGAGGTGTTTCCATCAAGGCGGAGGCGCACAGTTGCTGCGCGACTCTATGACTTTAAATGTGGGGACATGCGTACTCTGCCGCAGAGCAGGAATTCAAACAAGCCGGACTCATAAAACGTAAAAATTCCAACCTTCCGAGCGTATTTCGTGCTTTTGGTCAAACCTTGTGACCACGCATTTGCCCGCCATCTTGTCTGGACACTGCATTTAAGTCGAGCTGTGCACAAATTCAAAAGAAGGACTATCTGCTTTTCTCATTTAGAAATACCTGAGTAATACAACAAACACCGTAGATACCGTAGATAAATAAATGAATAATATAATAACTAAACAGACCTGGAAGAACAAGAAATAGTTCAAGGAAACTTGATGTGGACGCCTACGGCTAGCCTTCGAGCCCGCTCTTTCAAAGAAAAAATATCGTTTTCTATTCTTGACCAAGTGAATAAAAGAGAGACCAATTCTGATGGTAGTCTGATAAACATAGATACAGTCAGTAGAATTTCCGCTTAATATAGTGTGCTTGCATTGTATAGGTGAAATGCGGTAAAATTACGCGTGAAGAAATAGCTACGCCTGTGACGCTTTCCATTTGCGCGCAGAATGCCGGCACTATTGGCGTGGCTAATTTTTTACGCGCAAATTTTACCACAATTCACCTACAGTGCAAGCACACTGTATTAAGCGGAAAATCTACTCGACTGTACGAGCAATTTTTAGGACGACTGACGACTGAGTGATTTCATGAGCACGGTATTTACCAAAGGCAGACTTTCCGAAAATGCTACTCATAATCAATGCAGTTTTCTGGATGTGAGCATTCAAATAACGTATTGTGAGTTGAATACAAGAGCTACATCAGTGATGGCATGGAAGAGAATATGTGACAGATGCGAAATGAATAAATCTTATATATGCGTTCAACTCTTTCATTGTCAACAGAAGAACCGATTTCGACCTGTATCTACTCGTTGTCTATATATCGGTTTGTGGGAATATCAGCTGTGCATATTCTTTTGCACTTTCAGAAGTACTTGGAAGCTGCACTTTATTCACTAGGTGTGTTGATCATTAGTGCTTTGCCTTTGTATGTGTGATGGACATAGACCTCCTTTTACATATGTATAGAAAAAAGAAGTTAACGCCATAATTTGCATAAAAAACCAATTTTTTCAGGTCAAATGGACGAATGGACGAATACGAACCCGGAAAACCGTCAAAAGGATGTGAAAGCGAGAAAATCCACAACAGCGGACACGTGCACCAGGGTCGGTAGTGATCTCCCTGACCTGGCGGCATGTCTCGCCGTCAAGTCGCCGGCATCTTTACGTGAGATCGGCGTGAACACCGAGCTCGAATTTGTGCCTTTCCAACTCTTTTCACCACGTATTTGTGGTCGAGGAAGGCATAGTGACCTTAGGGAACCCTACCTGGCAAATGAAGGTTCTAAAAACCTCCCTAAACAGAATTGTAAAAGAAGGCAGGAGATGCTGGCGGCAGCTTCGCGAGCTGACCTGGCGGCATCTCGTCGAAATTTCAGCGCTGAGAGATGCCGCCAGGTCAGAGAATACGAAAAATCGTGCTCTTTCAAGAGATCAAGGTGCCACCATCCCGACGTGCCCCTACCATGTCGAGATGGTGGCACCTTGCTAACGGCGTCTGCAAGTTTGGGTAGTGCGGCAATATCACACATTCCACGTCAAGCAGAGGAACCAAAAAATTCGCTTTCCATCAAAAACCATTATTTTTTTCGTTATACGGGTTTTCCTCGTTGAAAATTGATGCTAATTATGTAGAAGAGATGTCTAGTAATTTTATAGAACAAAAAAGAACGTTTTTTTGCAAGCCCTTTAAATCTTGTTTGCAACAATTTTGGCTCTCTCGTGCTCATATCACTCAGCTGTTCTTCCAGAGCAACGTCTAGCGCGTCTAGCAAAGTATTGATCATGCCCTCTCACAAGCGCCAGTGACCCGCCAGTGACCTGTACGTTCCTGTAATGGCGCCGCAAATAGTGAAGTGGTTAGTGCGGCGGTGCTGGAAGTTGGCGCATGCGGGTTCGAGCGAGATCGGCGTCGCTGTTTTGCGGCTGTCTGAGCACTAAACTTTATGTGAATAGGGATTGCGGACCAAGACTATATGAGTTTGCCAAGACCTAAAAGCAATCCGCGAGATGCCGCCGGAGTTGGCAACTTTCCGTGATGTGTGCAAACTTGGCGGCATCTAATTGTAAGATGCCGCCAAGAGGGTAGATTACTACCGGCCCAGGAGTCGGCATTCGAATGCATTCTCAGCTGCCATAATCCGGCTTCAGCACACAGAAGATCAACAAACTCGAATTCGCGTCAATTACGCCTTGCCGAAAATATAAAACGGGCAGTATCAAGGAAGTCTAATCAAACAGAAGAAGAGCAAACTTTTCGTTTATACCAAATGCATAAATA